TTTCCCTAATGAAGAAGTGATTATATCTTGTAGCTGTATTATCAGTTTTATTTTATTTATTTTATTATCAGTTATCTGTTTATCAGCTGTATTCAGCTGATAAACTCCAATATTGAGTAAAACAACAAATAGCTTTAAAAATCTAGAGCCAAATGTTTTGGAAAATGCATATGGTATGTCTGTGTGTTTCAGTTTTAAGAACGGCTCTCTGATGAGAGAGAAGATCAGAGATGACTGTGCTTCAGGCTCCTGGGATGAATTTTCGAAAGCCTTATCATCTACTGTTGCTGGAAACAATGGAAACTTGGGTATGAGCCTTAGTAGGGTCGGGATTTCCAGGGTTTGTTTAAATATATAATTTTGGGGATGTTGTACCTGCTTTTACTTGGGTTGTGATATAAGCCAAGCATTAAATTAACTAGAGCAAGGGAAGTTCCTAATGTATATTTAGAAATGCTCTGTTGGCAGGCTAAGTGTCATGCTAGTATTTTTCTTCAATATTCACTAAATAAGAAAATTATGCTTCTGCAGCTCTTTTTATCATTGAAAGGGTGTCTGTAACAGCTGTATACTGTTTAAAACTAGTCATTTCTGAAGGAGGCTTTCATTAAAGTTTGTTTCTTTTTGCTGAAGACAAATTAAGTGGATTAGCTCTGTATTGTTTCTTTCTAAATCTTCAGTGGTTTTGATCTCTTAATATTACTTTGGAATCTTGTCCAGTGCATGTAAACAAAGCAGTAATATCAAATGGTGCCTGGATTTACTGCATTTCACCCAGTATATTTCATGCAGTAATTTCATCCCTATTTTTCCCCACATTATGCTAAGTGAATGAAATAAAACAGATTTTTCTGAATAGATAAATGTAAAATTAATTTAAAAAACTGTAGGTAGCAAAGCTTTTAAATGTACATATTTAAACTATAGAAGACATCAGTCCTTAGGAAAGTGAATTTAAGGTACAATTTCTTGAGACTGCAAGGTTAGCCCTAATTTATTTTTTACAAGCTCTGTTATATTGTCTGTCAAATCCAATCTCTGGATTTAATGACCAGGAGTCTCTTTTCACTAGAACACAAATCCATTTGGGTGTTTCAGAAAATGGGAAGAAGTTACTCCAAAACCCAAATGTCAGTCACTTTAGACAGCATTAAAAAAAAGAAGGAAGTTGATGAAAATATTGTTACTGATTTCAGGGATACCAGAACACTGCCTTAACCTTTTAAGATTTGTATTGTAGTATATTCAGCTGGATATCTCAGTCTTTTATAAAATGGGTGCTTTGAGGAAGTCACCCTCAATAACCAATATGCTTGGATAATCTGAGTTCTTGAGGGAAGCAGAGCAAGGAAGAAATTGGTTAGGCACCCTCTCTTTTATCACTTGTTCCCTGCTCTCCATGGTGTGTGACAAGATGCCCCTGTGGAGGTTTGGAGATGGGCAGAGGCAACTGCTAAGGTCAGGCTGGGCTTATGAGAGCAACAGGGGTGGCAAACAGGAAAGGAGTGGGGAACAGATGAGGGTCCTGAGTACCTGATGAAGTACATGAGAAGGCCAATAAAAACAGCCAGTTTACTTGGAGACTTCATCTGTCAGACTCAAGATGGCAGCATAGTGAGAAAGGAAATGTTGAGATAAGCATTCCCTGGCAGGGCTTGCAAGCTCTCTAACACAGTGTTGCTTACTGGCAGCATTTCAGAATATTTCACCAAAAAGGTCACATGTGCTAAAGCACAGTACTGTCTTGGTGGTTTAATTTTATTTTTTATTTTTTTTTTGGCAAATAATCATAGGGCTGCTAGGGCAGCCCAGTCTTGTTCCAAGGTCTGAACCTTAGAGACTGTCCTTAGTTTCTTACTCATTCTATTCAGTTTTTCTGTCCTCATTTTCCCTTTTTCTGTTTCTGTTCTTGCATATCTTTTCTGACCAACATGTCTTGCCATCAGCACAAAAGAAATCTTTTTTTCACTCTTTTTGTCTAGCTGTCTACAAAGCATTACTCAATTTCATCAGATCTCAGAACTATTCAGGGACCAGCTCTGCTTCATGACTTAAAATATCTAATGTTCCCTAATAAGCTCATGAAATCTAATCCAGTGCATGAAGTGTTCCTGTATTCCTGTACTCTTCTTACTAACTTACCATTTTTTCAGTGGGTTTGTTGCTCTTGTGTTTTTTTTCATCCTTGCAAATGATCTACTGAAACTGTAATTCTAAAATGTCTTCTATGTTGTCTGTTACTTGCATGCGTGTGTGTTCTGGTGGATGTTTGCTCTTTTTCAGGCTTGTTGTTTACTGTATTGTTTGGGTGCCTAGAGCCAGACATGCTAAAGATCAACATTTGTGTAAACTGAAAGTATTTAAATTCAATATATAACTGGACTGAAATTAGTTAAGAAACAGGCTGTGTTGTGGCTCAAATATCTTTCCAAATGGGTGACGAACATTTGTTATCATTTTAGCTGTGTGTTGAAATAAGAGTCCAACTTTGGGCTAGAAGCAAACATACTCTTTAATGTTCCTTGATGTAGGTTTCTACTTTGATGTGATGGAAATTACTCCTGAAGCAGTTGGGATTCACAGATTCAACAGAGACAACCAAAAGGTAGTAATAATCTAGGAATAAAGTCTCAGACCTTGAAGGAATACCATCAAGGCTTGAAATCTTTGCCATTATCTGTTGTGTGTGTGTGCCTGAGATGCTTGCTTTCAAGTTTCATTTATTGATGCAAGTCCTTGGGATGATTTTCATAAGAAAGTATTTGTTATGTAGCTTGAAAGTATCTACAGTGTAAAGTCTCAACTAGAACTTACATGGAATGTTTTTTTAGGAAGTACCTTCCTTTACTGGAAAATGTGGATTTACTGAAACCAACACTGGTTTTGAAACAGGATTAACTTTCAGCTTATTTAGAGTTTAGTACACTTATATGGCTTAGTCCCCATCTTCTAAGTTTCAGACACACAGATAAGTATGTGTTGAAATTTTGGGCTATAATATTTTGTCTTTTATCTTGCCCTAAGTGTGTATGTAAACTAAATGTCTTGGAGTAACCTACAAGCTAAATAGTGGTATGTAAGCAAACACGGGCTCAAGTCCAGTTGGAATTAAAATAGAAATTTTGTCATGGAAAGGAAAGTGATGTGTATATATATATATATATTTTATTTTTTTTTTTTTTTTTTTCTTTTGAGGAATAGATGTTGTTTAAATGTCTGACTTTCTGGGTGGTACCGAAACTCTACAGATGTCTGATCAGTCATGACTCCCAGTCAATTAGACCTCTCCTAGGTGAACAGAGATTGATACTATCTTGTGTTTGCAGTGTGGCACTAGTCTCTTAAATGTTTGCTGTATAAATGAATGCTTAATCTCTTCTAGCTGCTCTACAAGTTGTAGGCACTTATTTGTAGTGCATAGAAAAACTTTCACATTTTGTATTATTTATATTTGTTGTTATTTGTATTTGTTTTTCAATATTTTCCTGCTTCTGTTTTCTTTCTCATATTCTGGTTGATGAAAGGCCAGAAAAGTATTATATGTAGCAACTAAATAAATTAATGAAAAGATTACATGGTTTCACTTTTGTGCCAACAGAAACAGATTTAAACTTTTGTGACATTGCTTAATGCATCTGACTTTTATCTACTTGCTTTAGTTTTATATTTTTGAGATATTGATTTTTAAGCAGCCTTTGGTGCTGGGAAATGCAAAGAGAAGAGTTTACAACTTGCAGTAGAACATTTTTCCATCATGCATTGATTTCAAGTTTGAGGGATTTGCTAGCAGCACTGAGGTTATGGGTGGCATTCCCTGTTGTGAGTCTTTAGGTCCATCTTCTGTGTATGAGTGAAGAGCTGGGCCTATCTGAAAGCAGACTTAAGTGTGGAGACAAGGATAATCAGCTACAAATCTGTACTGTGACATTGAGGTGATGGAGAGGGTTCAGAGAAGGGCAACTAGGGGTTTGAAGAAGAGGTCTTATGAGGAGAGGCTGAGGGAGCTGGAGCTGTTCAGCCTGGAGAAGAAGAGGCTGAGGGGAGACCTCATTGCGCTCTACGACCACCTGAGGAGGTTGTAGTGAGGTGGGTGTTGGCCTCTTCTCCCTAGTGACCAGCAATAGGACAAGAGGAAATGGGGTCAAGTTGTGCCAGGGGAGGTTCAGATTGGTTATTAGGAAAAAATTCTTTACTTAAAGAGTGGTGAGACATTGGGACAGGCTGCCCAAGGAGGCAGTGGAGGCACCATCCCTGGCAGTGTTCAAAAAAGGAGGTAGACATGGTGTTTCAGGAGATGGTTTAGTGGTTAGGGGCTGTAGGGCAGATGGTTGGACTTGATGATCTAGGTCTTTCCAGCCTTCACAATTCTATGATTCTAACCAGTCTTCAGCTTAGCATTGTATTCAGTGTAAGGTGCTCTTTACTTCAATGTATTCTCTCTTTGTTACAGGTTTCAGACTTTACAAAAGAGGTGGAAATACGAGCATTGATCGAAGGGCAGTTCATGGCCAAGAGGATTCATGCTGAAAAGCTGGGGTATAAAGTCAGTAAGTATGATGAAAAAGCTGCAGAACTAATAGAACTAGAGATCAAACACAAAGGTAGGAGTCCCGCCAGTGATGTCAGTATTGTGCCCTGCCTGATGAACACAGAAACTGGTATGAATTCTGAATTAGCCTCTTGGAAAGATTTTTCGTGGTGTGTTGGGGGCAAATTTTGCAGATGTTAACTTTAGAAGTGCCAACGGTTTAACTTTAAGATGACTTCTTTTTCAAGTGCTCTTGCCATTTCATTGTTGCTGAGCTGCATTGTCAGTTTTTGAATAAGAGTTTGGGCTTCAATAGCTTGTTAAGTGAAAAGACAACCAGCTTTCTGCCTAAAGCACAGGAAATCTGAAATCTGTGTTCAATTCCATGAGCTGGTCACTTACCTCTTTGCCTTAGTTTTCTGTTAATAAAGCTAGAGCCCTTTTCTTGACTTGTGATTGAGAAAGCAGATTCTGCTCCCTTGTATACAAATGTATATACTTATACATACACTATATATAGAGAGTGTATGTATAAAACATATACATGCTAAATATTAATAACACTTTGGAAAAACAAAATCAGTTAATATTTTGCCTGTAGAAGTGGGATCAGATCATTACTAGAGGTTCAGTTCCACAAAAAGAACATAGGCAAGGTGGTAAGGTGTTTTATTGGTGTTCTTTGTCAGTGTATCAGCCAGTGGCATCTTAAAAAATACTGACTGAATTATTCTTGAGGGGTTTTAAGCAGGATTTTATTTTTTAAAATAATGGTTTTATCTACAGCTTGCCCTCCTCCCTTACAAACCATTGTTTGGCTCCTACCTTCAGGCTTTTATCCATAATCATGAAAGATAGATTTTTATTTTTTTTTAAGAGAGAGCTACAGAAGCTGAAAGTTGAGAAAATATAGATACTAGAACAAATCACGAGGCTTGGCAACACCATCTCATAAATTTATGTGATAAAGGTTTCCCTGTTATATATTTTCTTACATACTTGAAATCATATTTATTTGGTGAGGTTATTTATGGAGACAGGCAGAGATCCACGTAGATCATGTTTAAAATACCTGTTTATGCTCCATTCTTAGATTCTGCCAAAAGCTTGGGTTAAAGAGCCTAGAAAGCTCATGGCTGATGAGGATACTTAAGCACTCTGTAAATGCCAGGGGTTAAACAAACACCAGAGTGTGAGAAGAAATGCTTAAGATACCAGACAATAGATTCCTTGGAATCTTATGCTTTTCTTTTGTTGCATCCCAAGGGTCTTTTAGCTATTTGGGAGCTAACAGAGAAGTTGCTGTAAGAAAGAACTGCTGTACCTAATGTACGGTGTATGCATCTCCCACTTTTCCTTGGTGGTGTGATTTAAAAGTCATATTCTGTTATTTGTGTAGTTATGGCAGACCTACAGCTGCATTTGTTGTGTGGCAGCTCTGAAAACAGGGTGTGTCCTGAATGTGTTTCAGGGTATGGATGAGCATGGTGGGAATTACTCTGGTATCGCCAGATTTTCTCTTGTTTAATAGCTGTTGATTTTCAGGCTGCTTTTTTTGTTTTTAATGTGATTTAAAAGGTTATTTGTCTTTTGGATGAAATACACAGTTGGGACCCTTGTTTATTCAATTCTTTTTAGGCCTTGTCTACATGGGGAATTTACTTTTTCCAGGAATCAAGCTAATTTATATTCAGAAATAATATCACAGCAGTGTAAATCTTGGCTTTTGTTGTTGTTTACACCAATGGGAGAATAGAGTAATAACTGTTGACAAGATCCAGAGAGTTATGTGAGGACACCTCTTAAATTGATCTGTAACAGAAATGGAAGTGACATGGTCAGTCACAACAAATGCTCTGCTGTGATGTCCCGAGGTTTGAGTGGTGCCATCTCAATGGTGCAAATGAGTCAGAAACCTGGCTAACAATATCCCTAGCTTTGGCACCAAGGTGCTGGAAAATGGTTCTGGCAGAGTCATGAACCTGCCTCTCTGTTCTTGGGCCAAATGCAGTTTGGATGACTGTAGTCTGAAAAGCACCAGTGTATGCGGGAGAGAATTTTGTAAAAATAAATAGATAAACATCTGTATTAGAGCATTTTTGGTTATGCACTGTGAACGTGGCAAACATTAGATAATCCCTTAGGGTTTACTTTCAGTTAATGAATAATGAATATATTATCTTGCTAGGAGCAGTGTTTTTGAATCCTTGGTCTAGTTGGTGCTGCAGGAAGGTGCACAGCAATGCTGAAAGTGTTTTATCCGTGAGATTTTGTTCCCAGTTTGGGGTGTCTGGTGCACTATAAATCTTATATAAATTGCAAATAATAGTCTAAAAAAACCCACTTAAAACAGCTCCTAAAATGCTGTTTGTGCCTGTGTGCAGGTTTCAGTGCTGCTCGTATGCCAGTAGAGGGCAAGGGGACTCTGTCTCATGATTCTTTTTTTCCGGAGGCTGGGCTGTGTGTGTCAGCCTTGTTTTGAAAATGGCACAGTCACCAGAGGATCCTTAGCAGAGAAGTGAAACCTTACATTTAAGAGTTTTAAAGGTGTGTGTCACTCTGTCCTAATTGCTCTAATCTTTCTCAATCAGATTTCAGGGGAAATCATTCAGTAACACCCTGTATCCTGTTTTGCTTATGTGCTTAAGGGGTGGATGGAGCGTTGTGATCTAGAAACAAACAAGTGAAGTTTGGTCTGTCCCTGTTGTTTACATCCTCTGATTCCAAGATTCCTGTAGATAAGGTGAAGGCTTGCTGTTCTGCCTTTATTTTCCTGGATTTTTATGGTATCATAAACACCTTCTGTTTTGTCACTTCCTTTTTCTGGTTGCAACTATCCCCTTTTGAAAGCTAAACTCACAACTGAAATTCAGAGGCTGGACATAGAGATATGTTTGCTGCATGATTTGAGGTCTCTCTGAAGTCAAACCCATGGCACTTTTTAGAGAAATGGCAGTGTTTGCAGCACAGTGACACAGGTGATCACAGCAACCATAAAGCTGTTAGTGGTTCAGACTGATCTGCTAGTATATACTTCAATAAACCTGATGATAAATTCAGAGTTGCTTCTATTCCTGACTAAGCAATCCTAAAATTCATATTGACACTGACTGGAAAATGTGGCAGTCCTTGCTTGGACCTAGTGAAGCTGTCCTGATGAAGATCCATAAAGCTGATTATTCTTGAGAGCAAAATCTAGCCCCCTGACTACTGGTTGGTAAAGTAAATATTTCCATGATGTGTGTTATGTATGCTGAAGGAAAACAGCACACAGGTAGGGGTCCTGGTGTTGATCACACATGTAGCCAATAGATATTTAAATGATGTGCTGTTCTACAAGTGTAGAAACCTTCATGGCAATGGGAATCTGAACATTCAGTCTATACCTACTTGGTCAGGTGTGTGCTAGAGTAGTGTTAAATAACCTTTCAGGGGACTACAAGAGGAATTAATAAATCCTGCTGCTTTTCTGAGGTGAAGTCTGTGTTGAAGCTCTTAGCTTTGGACAGGGCTTTCTGCTTCACATTGTTGTACCTGTTAGTGAGTTTGTAGTACTCCAGTTGCCCGATATGCTGTTCCTGTCATGTTTATACTTCTAAGAATCTAATTCTGCCACCTAATATCAGCAGGGGGAGATGGATAGAAGATACCACATTTTACAAGACCAAACTTTGTCCATAAAATATGTTTCTTATGTACATAAATCCATCACTTAGAAATAATGCTGGTGCCCCGAATTCTGCTGACTGTCCTCAGTATTCAGGTATTGGCTGGGGTAACACAGACATGACTGTGGCTTTGAATTGGAGTAGGAATGAGCCAATTTTTTTTATTATTTTTTTTTCTGAAGTGCTACATGTTACCAGTCTTTGAAATGTGCAGAAGTACATCTTTCTGATTGGATATACAACAGGATGCATTCTTAAACAAAACAGCAGTCCTGCAGTGCTAGGGAAAAAAGGGAAATGTCAGAGCATGCTAGGCCTGGCTTCTCAGAGGTTAGTGGGGGAACTTCAATTTTCTGAAGAACTCAATCTAAGATTACATGAGGGTAAACTCCAAGGTGCCAAATAACTTTTTTCTTCAGGTGGTGTTTTCACCTGACGCTCCTTTCAGCACGTTGAATGTAGTAGCAATGTGTGGCTCTTTGTCCACCGGGAAGGCAGTCTGATGGAGCACAGGGAACTCAGAAAATACCAGTTAGTAGAACACGGAGTGGTTATATTTCATCCTTCATGTTGTCATGTGGATGCTTAGAAACCTGAGGGCAAGGTGTGAGGCTTCACAGCCAAGTGTTGGCCTGTTGAGGGATGAAAGAGCTCTCTGGTTTGCCCAAGCTAGATGTCACTGGTTCTTCAGACACTTTGGAGATGGCTTTGTGTCAGGCTATGAGACAGGTTTTCCTGCTGGTAGTTTTCTTTGGCTGACTGGCTTCTGTGATTGTAGGCTCTAAAACTCTTTACCAATTATCAGGAACCTTGGGGTATTTGTTCAGTTTGTCACTTTTGCCTTCACCACCACGTGTGTTTATACTCCAGCTGTAGCAGTATTTTGGCTGAAATGAGGAACACTGAGTGAGGCCATTTTGTAGTTGCATACAGATTAAATTGATGTTTATGCCCTGCAGGATTTAAATTTCTTAGAAAAATCAATACTAAAATGTTGTGCTGGCTTTGTGCTTGTGTTTTGCCATTTCCTGCTAAGAGTGCTGATGGTGTTTCAGCAGCATGAGGACTTTGTTAGGGGCCTTTTGCATCAGCCAGCGTGTGAAAACAGTTTAAAAGTAATTAGAGGACAGTGCCCTTGACTGGAGGGTGAAGTCCTCTGTTCAAAATAATGGTAAATAGTGGTAACAGTCAGTTTGGAATATATAAGGAGCAGGGATGGGGCACAGTGTATGCCTTGATATGTGGTACAAACAGGCCATAAATACCCCTTGTCATTAGATCTTAAGCCTGTGTTTTTGAGGGAGGAATACTGGCTCAAGAAGTACTTTCAAATTCATCAAAAGCAGGATCT